TTAATCTTTCTGAGTAACTCTACTTGCGAGCTGCACCTCTCTCTCTTTCCCTCCATTTTTGGTTTCTGCTGTTCTACTCCATCCCAAGTTCTGCCTCCGGTCCCATGCGGTGAACAAACGTGCGAGGGGAAAACTGACCTTATTTGTATTATTTATTTTTAATTTTTTACATTCTTGAATTTCAAGAATTATAATCTGTTAATATTAAGAAAAAATTGCAAAAAGGATCTTTAAAAAATTGTAAATAGATCCATTAAAATTAACAAAAAATTGCAAAAAGGATCTTTAAAAAATTGTAAATAGAGATCCATTACAATATTAACATAGGTTTTAATAATAACTTTTGTGAACGGATCTCTGCATATAATTTTTCAATTTTTAAAATCTTTTTTAATGATTGTCTCTATTATCTTCTGTTAATTTAGTACAACCATCAATAAAAAGACAATTCTTTTAACGCATTTTACCCCCAGAAAAAATATCCTACTTTTTATAATATTATCTCAATAAGATTTAGTTGACTAATTTGAGAAGATTAAAAAAATTCCTAAACTATTTTAAATTATTTATATTTATTATTTTTTAAATTAATTTGCCTCACTTATAAATTGACATATAGGTTAATAATACACATAAGTATTTTAAAAGATTATAATATATACTATAATTAATTAATTTTAAATTTTTTTTTCTACATTAACCGGATCTTATGTTAAAAAGAAGAGGAACTAGTATTCAACCAGAAAAAGTAAACGTGAACGGCCGTAAAGAATTAAAATATTGTTTGAACTAAATGGGCTTGTCCAATGATTTTTGGTTTGAGGTGCAGATGTTAAAAAAAAAAAAAAAGGCAATCCCATTCTTTAAAATATCTTATAAATGATTTTTCAATCATAATTTACAGAATACGAGATAAATATATGAAGATACTACCTCCGATCCTAATTACAAGAGTTAGTTGACTAATTTGAGGAGATTAAGAAAAGAAGTTACGTCAGTTATTTGTAATAAATATGTATTGTCTTTCCTAAAATATCATTGCTAATCAAATGTATTGGCTAAAACTATTATTGTTAGAAGGACTACCTTAAAAAAATACATAAATATGATAGATAAAGTGGATTGGGATATTATATTTAGGACCAAAATAAAAGTCAAACAAGGTCTTATATCAAGGACTAGAGGTAGTAATTTTGTCTCGATTTACGTAAAATATACTTATAAGTGATTCTAAATAGAGCATCAATTTCATGAAATAATGTCATCTAAAATCCAAATTGACTTTGGATAATGTGTGTAAATGAAAAAAAAAAATTATTTATTTGAGTAATTATTAATAATGATAATGATAAGTTGATAATTTATGAACAAAGCCCGAAAATCCTAATGAAAAGAATTATGGCAGTCTAAACACAAGATTTGGAGTTTAAATTTATATGACTGGAAAAAAAATATTTTTAAAAGAGCTTCTCCTAATTAAACCCGATAATATTCAAATCTATGCTAGCACATAATGTTTGACAGGTTAAATTTCATATGTATGAAAATGGAAAGGAAAAATAAATGAAATTCACAAAAAAAAAAAGTAGTATAATAAGTAAAATAATGAGAGAAATCTTTTCAGTGTGAAGACTTGCGTAACTTGCAACTTTTTGAAAACGTTGGCTGCTTTCAAATTTGAGTTGTTGACAACCTGCTCTTCAAACTTTTGGAGCTGTACATGTAATTAACATTTTGCTGATTAATTAAATTATTCAAATAATTAAGCAAGCCCTTCCATTCCATGTGGGTCAATTATAAATTAATCACATTATTTGTTTTTCTCTAATTGGCACCTTGACTTTTTCCCCAAGTCAACGGACTGCGTCGGTCCAAAAGGACCTTCTGTTAGTGATCTTTTGTTTCCCCACTTAATTCCCTCCATTTTTCTGTACTAATGTATCCAATCAAAAGTTATTAGTCTTGTTCAAAATTGCATCATCAATATCATCATAAAACATCCAGCTAAAAAATTATCAACATAAATATAAATTTTATAGGAAGTTAACTAATTAATTATACATATAAAACTTGTAACAAAAATTTTAAAGGTTGTATAGCTAGTATGCGAGGAAAATATATATATAATGAAACTTATTTAAAAATAATGTCAACTCTTTTTTTTTCTCTAAATGTCGAACTCACATGAAAAAAAAAATTCGATCCAACTCATTTGGCAGTTTGATATTAGTTTATATATTGACCTTAATAACCTTCGAGTCCCTCAAAGTGAGATCAATCGTTTATTTTCTTTACAACTTAATTAGTACTTATTTATAAAATAAGACTCCTCCAGTCCTAAATATAAGACCTTTTTTTAATATAAATTATACTACAAAAAAAGTCTTATATTTAAAACCGGAAGAGTAATAAATGTCATAATTATCACCTGAAAAATATGGCTTTTGATCAATTTTGATGAGAACAAAGGAAGTTGAAATGCAAGGATTGATTCGATATTTAAAGACAAAATTTGGATGCCACTAGTGCTTAAAATAGTAATTAAGTCCTTGTCCAAGCTAATCACCAAGAAGACCTCATCCCAACAACCATATATATGTACATATTTTTAAATTTAACTTCGACCTTGAAAATTTGAAAAGCAAAACATAAAAATCATATACTAGGTGAAAATTAATTAATATATCGAGAGAAAATTACATTCAAGCACACAAATATCAAAAATTTTATAGTCAAGAATATTACAAGCTTAGATTATTATTATTATTATTAAAAATATGATTTTTTTTCATTCATAAGTGAACGATTTTTTTAATATTAAACCTACAATTTAATGGTAATGATTCGAAAGTTTTAATAATGTAATGGAGTTCATTGTAGTTTTAAATGTTGAGAGTTGGATAATAAACTAGTAAGAAAACTAAAACCAACATGCACATAAAAAGCTAAAAAACATCAAAATCCCTTGTTATAATGTGAAGTTCTAATATTATTCATTGCAAGGTGTGGATAAAATTTAGATCTTTAAATATAATTTTCTGTATATTGTTTCATTCTTAGTTTCTTACCCAATTAGAGAATGTTAGACTAATCCAAAAGATTAGTTGTTCATACAACATAAAGACGCAAATAGAAGGTTCTCCAGCTAGGCCGCCTAATATAGGAATTATGTGAATAATAATAATTCAATTAAAACAACAACACGGAAACAAAAATAGAAGAAAAAGACATAAATACGCATATATATGCATATACATATGTGATTTTGTGTGCGTGTATATATATTTATGTCATGTATATGGTGATCCATATTCAATCTGAATTTTAGAGATGGATCTGCAGTTCGTCAACTTGCCCTTTCTTCTCTGTTCTATCTTGTTCCTCATAACTTTACGGGAACTGATATTGAGAAGTCTCAGAAGCGGCGGAGAGAAAAGGCTGCCACCGGGGCCGTGGAGGATTCCGATTATGGGAAGCGTCCACCACCTGGGCGGCTCCCAACACCTCCACCGGCGATTGAGGGAGCTGTCGGAGAAATATGGGCCGTTGATGCATCTTCAGCTGGGGGGAATCTCAACGGTGGTGGTTTCATCTGCAGAAGCTGCTAAGGAAGTTTTGAAGACAAAGGATCATATATTTGGTCAAAGGCCTTATCTTGCTGGTTCTGATATTGTGTTTTATGGTCCTTCCAATATCGTCTTGTCCCCTACTGGAGATCACTGGAAGCTCCTCAGAAAGATTTTCTCTCATCATTTGGTAATTCACTTCCCAAGTTCCAATCATTTGAAAGAATTTTTCTTTTTAATTTCTTGAATGGAATTGCTTATAAAGAAGGTTATGAATGGGAAATAGGCTGGATCCTCTTTTGGCTAAAAGGTTTAGAATTCAAATCTTGTGTTGTACATGTTTATCACTTGTTTAAATCTAATTAACCCAGAGTAATATTGAATATGGGAGACTTACATTTAAAATAAAAAAAAACGAAAGTTTAGATCATTGAGAGATAATTTAATTAATCAAGAACTCTTAGAAGAATTTAAAACTTCAAAGGAAAGAAGAAACAGAATTATTTGAGAGACTTTTTAGGATTCTAGTTTCTTTGCACATGATTTCTGATTCTCTTTCTGGCATGAATGAATATGCATTTGGACCCTTACCTAAAATTGAAGGATCGTGAATTACTTGTGATGGAAGAAAGACAAAAAGAATATATGAGTACTGAGGAACATTTAGAAAATCGATAGATTTTTTATGAGAAAAATTATTTTTATCTATTACTTCACTGCTTCATCACGCCCCCACGTATGGATTTAAATTTTCTGAAATTAAAGAATAAAGAGTAGGTAGTTGAAGACAAATGAAATCAACATCATTTATAATCTCATCGTTTTTTTCAAATCAAGTTACCCACAAATAATTAAGATACGCGTGCCATGATTATACGAGTGAGCACAAATAACATGAGTATCCACCAAAATAAGACCTGATTTTAATTAAGAGAATAATGTATGTATATATATTTAATTAATCAGCATGGCTAAATTTAATTTTCTTTAATACCACCCATGCCCATCCAATATGTGAAACTATACTTGCTTACAATTATATGATTCAGTGTTGTTCTTATAATTACAGTTAAATGCTGCGCGAGTAAGATCTTTCCGATCAGTTAGGGAAGAAGAAGTGGAGAGTTTGATGAAATGTTTATCTGCAGAAGCCGGCTCTGAAGTGAACCTCACTGAGAAAATTTGTGCTACGGCATGTCGGATTGCTACAAGGTCAGCTTTTGGAGAGAAGCATAAGGGCCAAGTAGAACCCATTATCTTGGTCTGTAATATGATTCTCCAGTCACCACATGGTATCTGCGATCTGTTTCCTTCTCACAAGTGGCTTCCGGTGGTCACCGGAGTGAGGCGTAGGTATCTGGAGCTTCATCGGAAAATTGACCGGGTTCTGGAAAACATCATCGGCGATCACCATGTCGGTGATGATGCAGCCGGAGAAGAAGAAGAAGAAGAATGTTTGCTCTCTGGTCTTTTGAATTTGAAACGTCAAGGTGATTTGACAATGGACAACGTTAAAGCCGCCATGTTGGTTAGTGCTGAGTACCTTTCTTTTGACCATTATTGGTATACCTAATCGAATAAAAGTGTGTTTCTGGATTTTGCATTTTAAATAAAAAAATTCACTGGCATTTTCCGACAAGTTCATCACACCATATAAGTATTTTAATTTGCAGGATGTGATAATGGCAGCATTTGAGCCAGCGTTTAGGATAGTAGAATGGGCTATGGCAGAAATGGTGAGAAAACCAGCAACACTGAGAAGAGCACAAGAAGAAGTGAGACAAGTTCTGAGGATGAAAGGACACATCAATGAAACAACGTTAGAGGAAATGAAATATGTTAAAGCTGTCTTCAAAGAAACTTTAAGACTACACCCCCCTTCTCCTTTACTGGCTCCAAGAGAATGCATGGAGACTTGTGAGATCAGTGGGTACACAATTCCAAAGAGAACCCAAGTGCTTGTGAATATTTGGGCCATTACAAGAGATCCTAAGTATTGGAGTTCATCATTTTCATCTTCATCATCATCTGCAGAAGAGGAACAGTTTGTTCCTGAAAGATTCATGGATAGTTCGGTGGATTACAGGGGATCCAACTTTGAGTTCATATCGTTTGGTGCAGGCAAGAGGGTGTGTCCTGGGATGTTGTTTGGTCCTGCCATTGCAGAGATTCTTTTAGCAAACTTGTTGTGTTATTTTGATTGGCAACTGCCCTCTGGGACTACTCCAGAAACCCTAGACATGACTGAACTTTTGGATTCAACCTTGAAGAAGAAAACTAGTCTCATTCTAGTTCCTACTCCTCACGGTAATCACATGTGTACATAACTGAATAAACTGGGAGAGCTTGGGAAGTTGATTAGTTTTACATGGCTATATATATATATATATATATATATATATATATATATTTATATGATTAGGATATTTATTTGTTTATTTATTTATTTTTATATGATGTCACAAGTTGATGTGAATTTGATTTCAAGAATGGGGGTGTGCATAAAGAACAGGGTCCTAGCGTACCCATACTCGTTATGATCATGTGGGGATAGGACACAAACGAACTGAAGACAAATTCAGATACATGACGAGAAGACAGAGACAAAGTCGTTATATATATATATATATATATATATATATATATCTCTACATCTATATATCTTTTTGTAGTCTTTTATTTTGTTATTTAAAATGTCAGGTATTTATATTTAGATTTTAGTAATTTTTATTTTACTGAAAAGTGAAACAGTGTACTTGATTATTTAGAAATTAAGTTATAGATCCCGTCATAGATGTTAATTTCTTAATTCTTAATTTTTCATCTTTTTCTTTCGATCTCTGTGTTTTTATTAGGATTATTGTCCAATCTGGAAAGAATATCAACTCCAAAATGAGACGGACATTATGGGATGAAAATTCCATCGTGCTCCAATTTCAGGATTGAACATAACGGAAGGAAAAAATAAAAAAAAAATCACAAAATTAAAGAATAAAATATTTATAATAATCACAGAAATATTTTCTATATAAAAAACTTGCGTAACTTGCATAACTAATTAAATGTCAACTGCTTTCAATTTGAGTTGTTGACAACCAGCTTTTCAAATTTAATTCGGAGTTGCTACATTAACTTCTGCTAATAAAATAAAGTTATTCCAATAATTAAGGAAGCCCCCCCATGTGAATGTATGTCGCTGGTCAATAAGGTTCTGATACTCAGATATTACGAGCCAACTTCATACCAGTTGAACCAACTTTTGTTGCGTAATTTAACATAATGTATCATTTCATTTCCTTATAACTTAGCATTAATATATATATATATATATATAACATGTTATTATGAAAATAGGAAAGTGACTCTGCATCTGTGCAAAACAAGGAAGGCGAAAATAATTAATAAAACCACCAAAAGATAACTAAAAAGCTGTTGGTTGAGATTGTAAGTGGCCTGACTTGAGAACACGAGTTTGAATTCCAGGAAATACACTTGTTGTGAGACTTTTAATCTTAATGGTCCTGTTTGAATACAGATTAGTTTCAAGTCTAAAATGACTTAGGATGCTCTGAATTTATACCCAAAAAAAATCCCAAATTAAAAATAACAATGTTAAAAGATTACATGAATCAAAATAAATTATTTTTAAATCTTAAAATTGGTTTTCAAAATCTCCTGATGAATAAATTTTCAATACTTCTTTTCCTTTTCTTATTCCCATCATTTCTTGAAAAAATGACTTTTGGTATAAATTATTAGGGAGCAGAAGAAGTCAAAATCCTCTGATTGGCGTGATTTAATAAAGAACATTTTTGTATGCCACTAGTGATTCGAATAGAAAATCAAGTCCATAACTCCATATATATCTGATACACACACAATATGCAGATTAATTATCAAGAAAATAAATAAATGCCGTAATTAGAAAGTGATTTTGCATATCACCCAGAATTTGTGAATTCTGATTTCGTCAACTTTTAGGCTGCCAAAGAAGCTGAAATATAATCTTCGGATTGATTCCATTTGAATTTGAAGAACATACATACATATGCCACAAGTGATTATAATATTAATTGATCAGTCCCTATCCAGTACTCACTAATTAATCACACGGAAACTGATGAAAGTTATTCCTTCTTATCACAACAACCAGCTACTATATACATGTTTAACTTTAGCTTCAAAAATCTCTAGGCAAAGTTATATTCAAGCACGCAAATAAAATGTATATATTGAAAAATTTTAAAAAGCTCAAATTGTCTTAAGAATTATATGAGTTTTTTTTTTCCATGAGCGAGCAGTGTTTTAATAATAAACCTAATTTTAAATTAAAGCTTTTAATTATAGTTTAATGGAGTTGTACTTCTTTTTTGTGGTGACTTTTTATAAATTTAATAATTTTTATATTGATATTGATGATATTGACCGGAGGTAGTGAGAGCTGTGTTGTTGACTTGTTATTACTACTAAACCCAAAAGATTAATAAGTTCATAATTAAAAGAATATAATGAAGCAACATATTGAAGATTATTCTTCAGGAAAGCGTGAAACTAAAACAAAATAGAAGTAACCTGATTGAGTGATTATTAAGAATTTGTATTTTTTATATATATATATATATATATATATATATCTGTGTCATGTCTTTGATCAATCACTGGGTTTTTTGGCGATGGATATTACCTTCTTCTCCTTGCCGGCCTTCCTTCTCAGTTCGATCTTGTTCCTCGTATTTTGTCTGAAATTGGTAAGAAGCTTTAGCAGAAGCTGCAGCGTCATCCAATCAAAGCTACCGCCAGGGCCATGGAGGCTTCCGATGATAGGAAGCATCCACCACCTGGGCGGCTGCCTGCCCCACCGGCGACTGAGAGTACTGTCGGAGAAACACGGGCCGGTGATGTGGCTGCAACTGGGAGAAATCTCAACGGTGGTTGTTTCTTCTGCAGAAGCTGCCAAAGAAGTACTGAAGACGAAGGATCATATATTTGGTCAAAGGGCTTTTGCTGCTGGTTCTGATGTTTTGTTAGATGGTCCCTCTAACATAGTCCTCTCCCCTACCGGAGATTACTGAAAGCTCATCAAAAAGATCACCTCCCAACGACTGGTAATTCTTTGTGAAAATTATTTATTTATTCTATGTAATTTTGACTCGCCTATAAGTTAAGTTAGTGTCTTGAATAATTAATTTAAGAACTAAGTTATAGTCAGAGTTTAAAACAAAAAAAAATAAAGCGACATGACTAATCACTTGAAAGATTACATTATTTAAACTTGCCTTTCATCATCATCAGCATGCACATAATCAAGTTTTAAATTAGAGAAAGTTACACTTAAGTGTCTGGTAAGAAAATTATATATATATATATATATATATATATAGGTACGTCATATTTCACTTAATATTCATAGGGTCTAAGAGATTTAAGATTTACAAGTTTGTCTTGTAAATAATGCAACTTGATTTGTAAATATAAAAGCTAATATAAGTCCAACTTCTAAACATTAATTTATAAATTTACTTGTAAATAAGACGATTGAATGTGAATATATAAAAATTTGACTTGTATGTAAATACTAAATTTCTTAACATCTATTAGCTAGATTTGAATGAAACTCAGGAGATCTTTTGATTGGGACCTATGGATAATCTTTTCTTCAAATTATTTAGGTTATTAGATCAAGTACTATACTTTAGTTCTATTTATAAACACTTCTTCAAAAAAGTGAAGTGGTAATGCTTAAAAATTTTAATAATTTTAATAGGTGGCATTTATGAAACGCTGCGTAAAAAGATGCTATCTTATAATTAGATAGTGTTTTGAGAAATGCTACAAAAAATTTAAAGAAAATAAACAGCGGTAGCATTTTGTTGAAACGCTTCTACTTGTACGCTGTTAGGTACTCCTCCGGTTCTTAATATAGGACCCAATTGTTGAGTTAGTTTTGGTTCTAAATTTAAAACTCATTTCTCATATTTATCAATTTTCTTTAAATTATTCTTATGGATACTCCCTCAACTATAATCAAGTAGAAGAGGCCAGGAAGTTGGGGTATTAAGAATGATAATTATGGTATTTTAGGAAAAACGTGTCACATTTCTTATAATTAACTAACTTACTTAACTTCCTTAATCTAATAAAATTAGTTAAATGGGTCTTATATTAAAGATCGGAAAAGTACCATTTATGTCGTGTAAGCGACACCTAATACATGATGTTTTTGGGAGGAAAAAAAAAAATTAACATCAAGTAGCGCCTATGTCTCATAAATGTGTGCTGCTAGAGTCTTTTTTTTAAAATAGTTTTATTCTAATTATAAGACATGTTATTGATCTTTTATTAATAGTTTTTCCTTTTACTTCTCATTAAATTTTGGTGTATAGTATTTAATTTTCAAATTATATATATTTAATAAGAATAAAGTTGAAAACTTATTAAAATTTTTAGACAGTTAATGAGTTTTAATTTTGTTTTCACACATTAACATGCAAGAGAGAATACAAAATGCGAAAACTGATTTTATAAATATTTTGCAAATAAAATGTATGCGTCTTTAATTTGTTGCCAACAGTTAAATGCTGCACGTGTGAGATCGTTCCAATCACTGAGGGAAGAGGAAGTATCAAGTTTAGTGAAATGTTTATATGCAAAAGCTGGTTCGCCTGTAAACCTCACTGAGAAAATCTTTGACACGGCGTGTCGGATTGTTTCAAGGTCAGCCTTCCACCGCCGGAATAAGCTCGATGATGATGATGGGTAACAACAAGAAGCAATGATCTTTTTCTGTGGGGCGGTGGTCTCCATGTCACCGGACATCGCCCATCCGTTTCCTTCCCGGAAGTGGCTTCGCGAGCTCACCGGGGCCAGACACAAGTACGATGAGCTCCGTCGGAGAATCGACCTCCTTCTGGAAAACATCATCGCCGCAGCGGATGCTGATGCCGGAGAAGAGGGAGAAGAAGAATCTTTACTCTCTGCTCTTCTCAGTTTGAAACGTCATTGATTTGACAATGGACAACGTCAAAGCCGTCTTGCTGGTTAGTGAATATATAATTGAATATGTTTTTGTTTTAAATTAACTAACATTTTCAAATAAGCCTATCGTACAGTACAACCTTTTCATATGATCATTAATTTAGTTAAGAGAGTATTTAGATATAATTTTAAAAATAATTTTAAAATATATGAAATAAATACATACAAGAGTTTTTTTTATTTACGAAAAGACATTTTTAAAAGCACTTTTAGATGTTTTCAAATATTCTTAAGTGTTAGGGTCCAATTTTATTCAGTAAGTTTTTGTGTAGAAGTAGTGCAGGAGTGGTAA